AAAAAGGCATGCAGCCTGGTAAGGTTATTTCTAAGGCGAGAATTTCACTGTCAGGTGACATGAGCTTATACGCAATTTTCGCTTTGAGACTTATTCTATTATTAATAAAAAATGCCAAACCTCCACCCTTCGATGGACGGTCTAGACGGAAAGATCTGAATCTATTTCATTGAAAAACTGATGCATTAAAAGCCACGTTTCTTGCAGTGCAATAATATCTTGAGAAAATTTCGATGCCAAATATATTAGATCAGTTGCTGCAGAGTGAATTGATCAGCAATTCCAATGAAGAATTTTAAGTGACCCTATTTTTGCTCTAAAATAGCCTCAGCGATGGCCTTGTTTAGAATATTTTCTTTAAGAAAATCAGCTTTAGACAGGGTGTTCTTCTGGTACTTTTTGGTTTTTCAATCGACAGGTGCGATGCCTTTTTTGTATAAAGGGGATCTCGAGCGCATTAGCGATCGGGGATCCATCTCCATTTCGTCTGAGTCCTCCACTTTCTTGGTAAGCTCGCATTGAGATACGCTACCTTCCTCTACTGAATCTGCAGCTACCATAGGTTGCTGGGGCGTATCGGAGCCATACTTCTTTGAAATTTTAGGGGAGTCACGAATGTGAAGGGCTTCCGTAGCTTGATGTGGCGTAGCAGAGTCATACTCCTTTGCAAACTTCGAGCAGTCACTAATGTTACGTGGTGCACTGTGGTTGTTTTCCGCTGTACGCAACATTTGAGCCATCTGGTTCGATAGAATCTGGGCCAAGGACTCACAAATATTCCCAGCGATGCGCTCCATTGCCTTCTCCACTGCCTTCTCAATCGCTTCCGCAATAGGGACAGAGAGAGCTTCCATTGTTGGCATATTACGAGCTGTAACACCGGCGTAGCCTTGTGTTCGTGCTTGTATTTCAAGTGCTGCTTCCTTCCGTGAACACCGTCTTCGTTCTACTATCTCTAGAATTTGCAGTTCACGTACCTTTGCCGAACAACTAGAGCTATCGGCCGCATGAGCTTCGCTACATAGGCAACACTTTATCACTCAGACAGTCGCTAGAATTGTGACCTTCCCCGCATACCTTACACCTGACCGCTGACCTACAACCTTTCATTGTGTGACCATAACGCCAGCACTTTATGCATTGGAGCGGACGAGGAGAGAGCGGCTCTACTCTGTAAAGTAAAGGCCAAGCCTTAATTTCTGATGATCGGACTGATCCCGCAAAGGTCACAATTACAGACTCAGTTGGTATTTTGTTGTTATCAACCACCCGTCCACACCGATAGACTGAAATAGCACCTACTGGCGAAAACAGCTCTAGTACTTCGGAGGGTGGCATGTTGGCATCGACGCCACGCACTAGACCTCGGGTACATGCTAAATGAGAAGGTATGAACGCGCTCACCGGCTGGGATGCAAACGTTGAGCACTTTAGCAGATCTAGGACACAGGACTGGTCTGGCGAAAAGCACAGTATGCCTCCTCTGCCTAACTGGCGGACCTCCGTTATGGACTGGTATTGGGCCGTCACTGACCGTAATTCCGCCTGAATGATCTTCGGGTTTTTCATCCTAATGATGCCGTCATTGTTCAGGACTAGAGCCACTGGAACCGATGATATTCCGTTGTTCAAAAAAAGATCCACTGGCACCTCCTTTGGATCCGTAGATGCAGACCAAAGAAAAGTCCCTGGCCCTGGCGAAGATAAGGGCATCTTGTCTTGTCTGAACTGCACAAAAAACACTGATCAAACAACTATTGCAGTATAATAAACGATGGTAGATCAATTAACCAACAACAGCTACTTAATTCTTGGCCACACCCCGAGAGCAAGCTTCAACGGCTAGAGCCGACCACCACCGATGCGATGAGCGCAATCTGAACCTTTCGCGTCCGACCACCACCGATGGCTTCCTCTTCTTAATGAACGTCAGAGCAACGAAAATGTTCTCTTCTTTTTCCTAGCCCAAAACGGGTATGAGCCAAAGCGGCTCGTTCATCAATGGTGGCAATATTCTCTTTTGCATGTTCTTGAGCGAGATGATACATCATCAAGTGATCAATTGTTTTGTGAAGCTTGAGTAATAACTCCACCGATAAATGAATCGCAATGATCCTGTGTGATAGTTGTTGTTGTTCAGTGTTATTGCAGAGTTTGACGCTTTGAAATATTCTTTTGATACTACATACTTCTTGGCAAGTATGCACAGGCTCAGACAACTTCTGTACTAGACAATGTAAGCACTAAAAAGGACAGCCAAATAGACAAAAAAAGATGATTGACGCATGCTGTAAAGAAAGATTCACTGAAATAGACGAAAGTGTTTTGAAGGCTCGTAAAAGACACGACTGCAGATAGTGGTACTTTGTTCAAACGTAGTGCGCTCTAACTTCCTCTTCAAAACTCGAAGAGTTCTGTGTGCCACTTCGCTCGGCTGTTTATTCAAAAATGATCGTTCATTCGATAACGAGATGGTTCCATCATGGGAGAGCGGTACTGTTTTCCCACTTTCTGGAAACTCGCGAATCGATTGGAAATATATGGGTAATTTTTTTTTCAAAATATACTTACTACAATTCTTTTGTACTTTGTATTCCAGTACCACTTTGGGTTTTCATTACACCCTGTCAAAAAATGTTGAACCTTAAAAGGATTCATATAGGAGAAACCCGAAATTACGATTGGCCTACTAAGCAATGGATCATAATGACAGCTGAAAGTAGGCACAAAGAACAGCACAAGCTTCGTCTGCTCTGTTTACGTTCTCGTCATGACTCACTAACCAACCCCTTATCAATTCACATCGTGTAATAAGAAACTCGTTGTGGTGCAGGAATTCACCGGAGTATGTGGAAAATGCAGCTTCAGAATAGGCTTTTCGTATTGGACATTTTGCGCTTTTGTACCTGCTCTTCATTGATTTTCAATGTTTGCTAAATCTGCTGGTAAATTAGGGCTGACGCTGGCTTCTCAACTGTACGCTGTGTTCGCCATGGATGTATTGGCGAATGCTAACGATGTCAACTGCAATGCGCCTCTGAATGATCAGTATTACAGAAGTACTTTGAACGTTTTTTAAACTGACTATCCTATCACTTTACAATTTAAAACAAATGATCTTGTAATGAATTGTAATGAATTTACAATGAAAACAAGCGAGTGTATGTTTTACAGCGAGTATATACTGTGTCACAGAAGTACTCTTTTCTACAGTGTTACGGTAGCACTCAGAACTTTTTTTTAAATAACCATCATCTTTGTTTACATTGAAAACACAATTGTTTCATCTAGAGTGCATGTGTCTTCATTTTCTCATTTAACTGACCACCGGCTATATACACTTAGTGTTCTGTGGTCCCACTAGCAGCCCTCTTCATCACCCAGAATCAGTCACCAGTGCAGCATAAAAAATTAAAAACTCGTTTTGGGATAATATAGCCCAAAGGAGACATCAATCACGCTTGAGGCATCCTAGCAAACATTGGTCTTCCAGTGTCATAAACAAATTGAAGCGACGGCTGCCTGTTTACTGATTCACTGTGTTCTCATGCTGATTCTAAACATTACTGCCTAACCGTTTTATTTTGCGACTTCAAATGACCAAGCAATGATTTAAACGAATATCAGGAGCATATCCGTTCGGGAGGAAAGATCAATCTGATCTCTTGCGATCCTCGAGAGCACCGCAAAATTGTTGGCATTTTGTTTCGGGTAATCCAGCACTGTCTAACTTCTGGCATCTTTTATGGAACCTTCACACGCGCAGCTTTTTTTCAGGAGCCGTGACAACTAACGAAGCTACTGTTTCAAGGTTTATTTATAATTCTCATTTGCTACCCTGTTTTAGGGGCAGAAGAATGGGTGAATAAAGACGGAAAAGTAAGTGGCAGAACAAATAAGCATGTGTTCAAAAGTACCTGCTGAGGTGTTGTGCTGTTATTCACAGTAATTCAGGCTTGAGTGGGTCACAGTAGTCAATTTGAGATGAGTGTAGAGCGCAATGAGAGCCATGCTCATATAAAATCAGGGGGCCAAATTTTACAAAGTGCAGTGCACTGCAGCTGTGTCAAGCAGAACATGGGAGAGGCCCTTGCCCTGCATGGGGCTTTGTTAGGCTGGTATGATGGTGAGGGTGAGATGTATATTGATAGTTGACTGACATGCAAGCACGTAAAGTTTGTTGTTCATTTACAGTGCCAGTTGTGCCAGTAAATAGCAGAACTCTACGTAAGCCAAAGGCAACTTCTCTTACACACGTGTTTTTCCCGATCGATAGCGTCTTGTGTAGTGTGCAAAAACGAAAATCTGCCAGGCCTGCGCGAGACCAGCGGCAGAGTCGCAGCGAAGCTGGAAGGGTAGCCTTCGTAAAGCATTTTATTCCACTTGTGGGGCCACTGCTGCAACCACAATCACATACTCTCTATGCCATAGAATATACGAAGTATTCATTACTGCCCTTATTCGCCCTTCTTCAAAGAAGTGTGGTACCACCTAGACAATTGTGAAGCATTCCACGCAGTTACTGAATGATATGGTTGACGTTGGAGAAGAATGTTCTGAAGCTTTTGGAGTAGTTTCAGCAATTAACGACATGCTCACCCTGCAATTCAAATTTAGTGATGCTTGGCTGTCGTTTTACGGTTATAAAGCGCCCCTTTGTGCATGTTCACGCGATTTCATAACCCACAGGCATAAGGTCTGTTTAAAACGAAGGTTCAAGTTTGAGCGTAGCTTATAGGTAGAACACGAGGCTTTAATAAATAAAATTGAGGCTCAAACCCTATTTAATTGTGCTTTTTTTCATTTGCATTTTTTTATTGTGTGAATACTGACACCGGTGGCAGTGGCAAACAACTACAGCTACCTTGTTGTGATCTCATCACAGTTTTCACTGTAAGATGAACAGGTGGAGCATCAGTAGATGTACTACTTATATCACGAAATATGTATGAAAAAAGCACTTTATTAACTCATGTTTCATGCATGCTACTTCTCTACTTTAATTTGATAGTTGGAACTTCATCCAGGTATCTTCATTCAGCTCATTTTGCTGGACATTCCGAAGTGCAGTGAGCCGGGCAAGAGCTTTTCGGGCAACGTCTAAAGTGGGATTGAAGAGACATTTCAATAAAAGTTAGAGCAGTTGTCTATTGAAATTTTACAGCACCAATTGTGCACCTAAAAACGTTGTTTCACTCGCTCATTCACAGCCACGAAGCCTTCAGCGACCATGGAAGTGACGAATAGTACATGGTTTTGCTAAGTCTTCATTCGTGGCCTTGTTTAATGTAGTGCTTTGGTCTGTTACACATGAAGGAACGAACCGTTCTGAACTTCATGAGCAGACTGGTCAGCCTAAAAGGGGGTCAATGCAACTGCAGAACATTTGCTGGCTAGTGTTGCTTGACAAAGCAGCTCCAGGCCATTATCAGCCGAACGGAGCCAAAAGTACGAAGAATAAACAAATCCATGTAATACCCATCGTTTTCACTCTCGCTGAAGTGCCATGCATTGCCACTCCCATAGACAATAGTATACCTAGGAAACTATATACTGTCGCAGTAGCTCAGGTGTGATTTTTCTCGAGCGAGCGGGAGCGCGGAAGGTGGTATTGCACGTACATGAACCGGGCACAGGCTGTGCATGCTAGGATAGACCCCCGACATTTTGACTAAAGTCAACAACTGAAGCCACGTGAAGGCGTTTGCACTCAGTTGCACTCATCTGACACACGGGTTGATGGTGTTGTGTGCATGGATCAAAGCAATGATAAGTTACCTTACTTTACCGCTGCAAGACATCGACACCAGTCATCTGACGAAGACCACTGTCAGAGACAACTGTGAGCTATAAAAGACGAGTTTCTAAGCCGCAAGAGTTCATGGCCGTGGTGCTGTGGATAGCGTGCTCAGACCTTTTTTCTGCGGATCGAGACGTTTCTTGTTCAACACCCCTTGACGAAACTTATCTCTTTAGGATCTGATGGTGTACATTTCGGGCATCATTTTTGGGATGGAATTACATAACTGAAATCTTGGTGTGTCCTGGCATAAAAGGCTTTCGTGTTAAAAAGTCATATCTGACAAAAACTGTCAGTTATGGAAAGCTACTCACGGTTATGTGCAGCACAAATCCATCGGAACATTCTAGCATTTTAAAAGTATTGCACTGCAAACTATAATTGCTTTCCACGACATTTCAGACCGCTAATTGGTAATTTAGCCCACTCAGTCAGCCCTACTTTACCACAATAAGCCCTCCGGGAAATAATTAGGGCATGTGGTGCGACACTGTAAATATAGAAAAGAGTTCCAGGGTCTCTGCTTCATATTATTGTGTGTCGTTTTTCGTGAACTCTTTTTGTCAGATATGTCTTTTTTGCCTTTTCGACATTATTTACGGAGGCAATGACTGTCGTCGAAACGATGGTGCTGCGAGATGTTCCACACTTGTGGTCGTGACCTATATTCATGTCATATGAACTTTGCCACAGTATGACATAAACTCTGCGAAGCACACATTTATATTTGTACGACTGACCAGTATTCCTTAGATTATACATGTTATTGTAATATGTTCAAGCCCAAGACGCTGTACTCTAGGCTACTTATAAAGTTGCTCAATAATCTAGACTTGAAACTACTGAGGTCACTTCCAAATCAATGCATATATTCTGACAGCCACATAAAAATAAAATTACTTCTAGTGCTAGAACTCGATATCTCACGAGTGTGCGTGCCATTATTTTGATTAAGCCATTGGGTATGATATTAGAGCTACCGCATAGTTAATAGGGTAGGTGATTGTTGGTAAACATATTTTGAGGGTAATTGCATGCTCCATGTAAAGCATTACATTAATTCACATGAACGTCAATTATCGTCGTAATTCAACTCGTATTATTCTTACTCTGCTATGTCTGTAGACCTACAGACGTGTTTTGCACAGGCGCAGTGGCCTTGACGCCATTTCTGTGGGGCCCCTATTCAAAAACTTCTTAATAACCACCCACTACATATATATTACACGTGCTTCCTTTTTCTTCCACACAATTCACGGGTGCAGTGAAAACATACAACACACACCTAAACCCGTAAACTAAAATGTAATGACATTTTCTTGGAGCTATAAAGCACTCAAGGTAACTAAATGACAAAATAACTTTGCAAACACACAACAAATCTAACCCGACAGTTGCTTCAATGACAGCCAGAATCTTTTTGTGCGAATAAAGAGAACGCAGATGGCCACAACCATCACCAGTATTATATATATATACATATATATATATATAGAGAGAGAGAGAGAGAGAGAGAGAAACAGGTGAAAAGCTTTCTTAATAAGCTGCAGGCAGTGACTGTACCAGGTACGGCCATTCATAAAACGATGTTTTGTTTTTCCAGAATTGCAAGTCGCGTGAGTGGTGCGTTTTATTAGGCCGACATGCGCAAGCGTGAATTAAGCTCCAAGAGTCCTACTCTTGAGGCGTTCGAATTTTTTTCTAAGGTGCGCCTTACTGCTGTGTTGCCACGATTTGGTTATACCTAACGTAGCCTTCTTTTAATTTTTCGTTACATAACTGCAAATATGCAGGCCATATTTTGAAAGTGTAAGAGCGTGGCATGTTGCAACGCTAATGTGTTCTAATGTGTTCTAGTGTTAACATGCATATATTTGCATGTTAACACTAGAACCCTGAACGCTGTACAAGCTCCGCTATATAAGCGGCAGGGGTGCGTGACACGACGTTTTTTTCACTAAAATGGGCCGTCTGGGTAATCTCAAAGGCTCAAGTGTAACTTACTGAAACACACTTAGCGCGGTGAAGAAATCCTGCTCGACAGTGCCCAAACCTGTTAGACCAAACCTGCAATAGAGAAAAAATGGAAATACTTTGATGCCTTTGGGTGAAATGTAGATGTGATGTGTACAAACATCTTGAATTTTTTGCGCATCGCATTTGCAGTGATTTATTTCTGACTTTATGTTAAATTGCCCGTTGAAAGAATTTTGGACACCTTTTTACCGCAAAAATGCAGTTATCACATATTGAATACGCAGGCCGATTCAATATAATAATTTTTCTTGGCGGAGCTGCTGTGGACACAACCCCCCCCCCCCCTCTCCGTTTTAAAGTAGGCGTCTACAACGCACCCATCTCGTAGAACGTGGATGCACTTGAACCTCAGGAACGAGCTGTTTCTGTAGTGCAAGAGAAATCATAGGAACAATTTATTTGTCGACACTGTTGAATTTCAAAGCACCCTGGAAGGCAGGATTTTAAAAACATACGTGTGGTTTGCACAAAACACAAACCTTTCATCTTGCCGAAGTTGGACGTCAGACAAGTTTTTCATCACAGCATTGGTATTCACCTGTTAGAAGCATTCACGAATACTGCGAAACACACAAAAGCTGTCACGCCGTAAGGAGACTGCTATCAAGCATAATGTTTACCCCAGTAGAGCAGTCCTGAAAGTGCTTCGACCCAAAGGTCGCGGATTTGATCCAAGCCAGAGGTCCATCTATAGTGCGATGTCCGAACATGTTACAGGGCACAATATGGTCGAATTTTCCGGAGCCCTCCGCTACAGTGACTCTCATGATCATATTGCGATTCAGGATTTAAAACGTCACATAATAATATGAATACTATTGTTAATATTAGTATTAGGCACTTTGCATGCTGTCTTAGGCTACTGCGTCACGGTTGGCCTCTATTTCTCTGATTAGATATGAGAGTTAGGCCACAGCCACACACTGTCTCCGCCTGAGGTTCTGGATAATCGTTGTGACGTCCATGATGGTAAAGACAGTGATTAAGGTGCTCAGCTACTGACCCAGAGGTCATGGATTGTATCCAAGCTGAGGCGGTCGCATTTTGATGGAGCGGAAGTGATAGAAACCGTGTATAGGGTGATGTAAGTGAACCTCAAAAAAGTTCCGGCAGGCTTAATTTCCGGAGTCACTCGCATAGCTGTCTCTGATAATCATTATCGTGCCTTGGGGTTTCGCAACGTAAAATGGCCGTCATTACTAATATTATTGTGTGGACGTGCAGTTGCAGCGTTCCAGAAAGATTATATTCTCGTCTTCGCCAAGCTATATGCAGTTTTCGTGAGCTAATTCTTTGTGTTGGGTGCTCCCCGTGAGATAAATTATTGGTGGGATCTGACTGAAATTTATAGTCTGAAGTTTTTGTATTGAACATAAAAAGAAGCAGTTTTTAGAAGCTGCGCATTAGCACTTCGATAGCATCTGCAGTAGTTCACTTGACGGTAATGTTCTAGGGTTAGTTCACTCTCAGAATTCATCTTGAATATAGACGCTTCACAGTATTGAAGTGATGCCTTTCTTAACGTTAAAATAATAGAAGAATGAGCAGATATAGTGTACAGTCTTCTAACTTCTTTTTGTGCAAATTTAGACACGTTTCAAACAATAAAGTAGAGGTATTCAAACAACTAATAGCATGATTTACGACATAGTAATATAATTACTTGAACACAGGTACCTTATGGAAATTTTTATACTATAAAAACTAATATTTTAAAGCAAAATGGTCCTCCTTAAACATTACTACAGTCAATAAGATATGTTCTCTTCGATTAGCGTCATGCCCTGGACAGCATTGTCATATGCTACATGCCTCGCTGTGATCATGTTTCTCGTTCTTCGACTTTAATAATTTCGATTTTAAATGTGACGGAATACTAAAAGTTCTCACTTACATCCATGCCGTCGCTGATATAGCATTTGCGGAGTCGTTCATACCATCATGATGCACGACAGCCGCGCTCTTCAATGTACTGCAAAATGTTTTGTATGGGCCTAAGTCTGCAAACAAAAGCATCATTATAAGTTACTATTCTCTTATAACATTATGCTCATGCTTTTACGTCTCGCAGTATCTTATACTGCGTGCTGCATTTCAGTTTGCATGCTTCCCATACTAATCTTTCATTTAGGATGCCATGCTGTGGGCCACGAGTAATTACAGCCAAGGTGCAATGTATGAGTACTCTACTGCGGTCGTGATTTCTGATTTTGGAGAAACGCTTGCGATTTTGTGAATTGCACTTACTGTGGCTATTTTTTGTGGGAAAATGGTGCATCATTTTTTGCCATGCATGCTGCTGCCATGATGAAGGCACAACTTTAGGTATGTATTGAAGTTTAGGAATAAATAAATGTTTGTAGTGTGTTTAATGTAACAAACGACGGATGGATATTTATTTCAATAATTAGCGCACAGTCTTAGCAGTATATATTGCCACATTTAATCTAGAATGGCATTTTCATATCGCATATATGTGCCTTTTCTGAGAAAATATTGGCGTCAGTTGTACAACACTACGATACCGTATACTATAAAGCATGTAATGTCAACGAAGACCTAAATTATAGAAGTACTCAAGCTTCACTGTCTTCGAAATAGAGACTGTACAATGCCTCACTACAAAATTCTTTAAAGCAGTCATTACTGCGTAGCTCTGGAACATACTTATTAAGAAGCAAAGCTATGGGACGAAGAAAACAGTTAGACGCCCATGAGTGGAGCTTGCGACGTGTGGCCGACTGCTTACGGTGGAGACTCCTGGTAAAGATCATGTATGTAACCCTGGTATAGACTCCTGGTATAGATCATGTCTGTAGACCTGTAACGTTGCACATAGTTTTTAGTGATCGCGGGGGTGTAGGACTCTGATTCCACCTGTAACTTTTTACTTTTATACGCTTTGCTTCCTAATTATATAAATCACGTTTCTATTGAGCCCCGCATTTCTAAGGGCATCGCATAAAACATTGCTTCAACGGGACCTCCATCACTGGTTCCTGTGACCGCATTTCAATTTGGTCAGGTGAGGTTCGGAGATATTCAATACAATATGAATATATGCAACCTCACTCAACAATAAAATAGTGAAACGTGCCGAGAAATGTTGTCCTTGTGCTTCAGCTGGGAACTCGTTCACGGGTAAGCGTGCGCTGGCGTTAGAAACGTGGAGGTCGCTCGGCCTCTACGGTGAAAGAACAGGCGTATATACATTTGCGACGGAGTTCACTTACTTTCTCCTCCTTTCTCTCGTCCTTCATTACACTCGGCAACAACTTTTGTTGCTACGCTGCCCCCCTGACGATCGTGTAGCCAGGATCGAATCACCAAGCTTGCCGCCTGACCGGGGTTTCGCCAGAAAGGACAGGCCCCTTCTACTGCATTTACGCATCGGCTGCTTCTGGCCTGCAGCTGTAGTCACCGCCTTGTGAGAGTCTCGTCTCCTGCGTAGACTGCGTGTGGGGCAGCCGCAGCTATGGAGCACCTGTTGTGGGTTCACCAGCGCTTCGCGCACACACAGCAGTCTTGCTCGCCGCACTCCGTCGCTATGCTCTACCCGCGGATACATAGTGGGACCTCCTCTTATTGCATGGCACCACACCCTAGTCTTCAATGCGGTTCTTCACTTCCTTGGGAACACTGCACTGGACAAACAGCTATAGAAGCCGCCTGCCAGGCTCCCAGTGATGGACGTCATTTCTCCTACTCTTGTCTCTACTCCATATCTTTTATACTCAGATCTCTCACCACAATCACTGAGCCATGTTTCCAATTAGGGCTGCAGAAGTTGAGTCCTCTCTTTTCATCAATCTATTTTTCTCTCTTTCTCTCTCTCTTGGCTTTAGAGTGGAAGCCACAGAGCAAAATCCCGTGCATTCTACTGCCAGTAGAGGTAAACAACTTCCGTATTCTCCACGAGAATTATAAATTTTCCGTCTTCTCTACGTAGACCTATTTGAGACAGGACATAGCTCACACCAGAAGATATTCGTATATGTTCTGATTTATTCTTTTGAGGCTTGACGTTTTTGAACACCCGAGAAAATTCAGGCTTTTTACGTGTACCTTGAAGGCTAAGCGGCATCTGCGTCTACATGAAACGCTGATGGTGCACCTCCGTCACCTTCCACAATGTTACCTGAACCGAGTCAAATTGGACTACTTCGTGTAGTGCTAAATCTGGAGATGCCTTGCCCCAGCAGCTTTTCCTTCTGTGCCAATAACAGTCGTCGCCAAGTATACACATCTCATCTTGTAAACTTGACTTTATTTTTGTACGATATACTACATTCAAATTCGACACGGCGAAGAAAAAAAATTCAGATCCCTGGTACAGAGAGAGTCGATGATATGCGAAGCACGAATGAGAGTTGTTGATATGCCACTTTAACCCTTTCGGCCCTGGCGGTGTCAATTGACACCACCGCACAACATCCCCCCTAGTATCTCGTAAACGTATTATTAGCAGTATTATTTAGCAGTAAATTAGCAGTATTATTTATACTGCTAATTTTTAGGGAAATAGTTCTTCAATGCTCCCCACTGCAATTGACATCAATATTGCGGCACGTTTGTTGAGGTATCAGCCACAACGAATAATAAGCGCGACCGAGGTCTTCCGTGAAGCCAAGGCGCTTAAGTTGAGCCGGGTAAGCGCCATTTTCGGGATAACGTACCGATGCTGTTTCAGTGAGTATAAGGCTGAAAAGTAAGAAGTTTTTTTTCCAATTTGTGTACACCATTGTTTGGCAGGAAAAAAGAAGCCGTTTTTATCTTTTTTTAATCACTGGGCCCTAATTACCTAATTTCATGCCACGTTAATTATTCCGAAAATGCTTGTACCAGTGGCTTAATTTTTTGTTTGTGGTCTTCTGAGGTCCTAACTACAAGAAAAACGCGCACAAAAAGTGTACCCAATAGAAATAAAAAATCCAGGGCTGAAAGGGTTAATATCGGCTCAACGTTGGGTCTGGTCTTCAATGTGGTTCTTCATATCCTTGGGGACACTGCACTAGACAACCAGCTATAGAAGCCGCCCGCCAGGCTCCCATGCCTTTTATTCTTCTCTCTCCTCAATATCTTTGATACTCACATCCCTCCCCACAAGCACTGAGCCATCCTTCCAACTAGAAAGCAAAAGGCAACTTCTGCAGCCCATCAACCTATTTTTCACTATCTCTCTTGGCATTAAACGAAAGCCACAGAGCAAAACCACTTGCATTCTACCGCCAGTAAATGTAGTTCCACAATAGCGCATCTGTTCTCCCCGCGAAATATAAATTTTCTATCTTTATTTTCGACTAGACCTATTTGACACAGGACACAGCTCACACCATAAGATATTCCCATGTCTTTTGATTTATTTTATGATGGGTGGTGTTTTTGAACACCAGAGCAAGAACATTTCACCTTTTTACGTATACCTTGAACGCTAAGTGGCGTCTGCGTCAACTTGAAACGCTGATGGTGCACCCCGTCACCTTACACAGCGTTGTGAGACCCGTGTCAAATTGAACTACTTCGTGTAGTGCTACAAGTGCGGATGCTTCGCCGCCGTAGCTTTTTCTTCAGTGCCATTAACAGTGGTCGCCGATTATGCACATCTCTCCTTGTAACCTTGGCTTCATTTTTGCACTAATTACTACATTTAATTCGCCAAGGCAATTTAATATTAGACTGGCTATGCTATGCTTTATTCTCTTTCTTCCGCACTCCCATTCTATTTATCCACACATCCACTACTCCAACTCTCGCTTCCTTATTCAACACGCTTAGCTGTGTTGAAAGCGGTTCTGTTATAAAGAAATGACTATAGGCTGTTTTCATCACAAGCAGGTGGCCGACCACAGAGCATCGCTATGGCTTGATATTGGTTCCAAACAAGACAAATATCTATTGGAATGACACGTAGTAAAGAGAGTCTCCTTATTGCATGCATTATAGGGTGGCAGTAGCATATGATCGCCCCAGGTGTCGAAACGTGTAAATTGCACAATGGCTAGGTGTTTAAACACCGAACCATTAGAGAGCGCTCAGACATGTTAACACCAGCTGCAAGAGCATTAACACAGTGAGGAATTGTGCACTTTCAAGTGTCACCTTGCGTACCCAAAGTGGGTCCTTTGCTGATTCTCAAAAAGAAGATTGTCAAAAAGAAGAATTAGGACCTTATGTGAAGTTACAAGACACTCCAGTACAGTTGGAAACGATCAATGCTGGATACACAGTCGTTTGTTCTTGTACGGCACGGTTGAGGCATACAGATAGAATGCAAGAAAAGCTAGCACCTGAAAAGGGGATTCGAACGGGCCAAGTTATCTCAGTCACATCCTACTCTTGAATACCAAGCTCAAACGTTCACCGAGTAATTGAGAGCGTAGATACTTACGTGAACACTTTGCCATAGCCGTCGTGCGAAATTCCCGGTGGCGAGTAAGCACGCCGAGAAAATATCAGGCGCGTGCTCTCAGAGAGCGCTGCCGCGGCGGCAGATGGCACGAGCTGACCCTAAGGACTCTGTAGATCCCGTCACCGAGCACAGCAGACACTCTCCCCACCCATCACCTTCATAAAAGCCACAAGCCTGATCTAAGAAAACCCGTTCTCGTCTGATTTCTAAAGAGCTTCGCTCATCGGTTGTATTTGAACAATGAACAGCTGCTAGTTGTTTTTTTATGCGATCTTGTGTCATACTCGGGGAGTGTCCATTCTGCAGCATCCGCGATGATACCGTGCATGCTAACTGTCCCTCATTCTATTCTCCCTCGCAGTTGTGCTATCTCCTCCTCCTCTCTATCTAAGCTGAAGGTGATTGCACACAACTCTCTAATCGGCCAGAGCATGATAACGTTCGAGGCCGTTGCAATGCCTGGCCTTCGAAGGTGCTCACGCTTCCTCCTTCCTCAATACACTCTCGCCCTAACATTCGTTAGGGTGTGGCTTGAGTTGT